CAACCAGCTTGCAAAATTTCTAAAAAATTCAACGGTTAGCTCTGGAGAGCTAGTAGGAGCTGACTCTAGGCTGCCACTGCTCCTGAGGCCTACAGCCCCAGACACTGGAGGGTGGGGGGCAAGGTGAGGCCCCCTCCTGGTCTTCTGCTCAGGCTTTGCTCTCCCTCCCTCAGATTATCTCCTTCATCCTGCATACAATCGTGCGAGGATTCATCCACTCTGCTGTCGGGGGCCTGTATGCCGCTGTGTAAGTTCTGGAAGCTGCAAGTGGTCTGGTAGACAAGGGTGTAAGGATGGGCTGAGGGAGGCTGCTGATGAGACTGAGACCTTAAGGCTGGGACACTGGCCCTAGCAGGGTTCATCTGTTTGCATCAGGGGACAGGTAGCAGAGTTTCTGCTTGGGTGTATCAGGGGAAGGCCATACCTGGTGGGAGCTGGGTCAGTGGGCAAACAGTTGGGTGCCCACGAGCCTTGGCATTTAACACGAAGTCAGTTCCCGTAGCCAGGGTCAGTGCCCCCATGCAGCTCATTATGGCCTCAGGCTGCTCAGCTGAGTCCTGGGGTGGGCCCTGGCTGCTCACTGGGAAGGACAGGGGTGAGTTCCAGCTGCCTGTAGCTAAATGATGAAGTTCAAATGGCCCTCACCAGGGGCAGCAGCATGGGTAACTGAGCCCAGACTGTAGCAGACAGTCCTCACCTAGAGCCTGAAAGGGCCCAGTTCTGGCCACAGCCTTCTTGGGCCCTGGCTAAAATGAAATGTACATCTCTTTCCAAGAGGCCAAAACTCCATAAGGAACCACAGTTGTTCTTCTTTCTCTGGCTTGGGCCGTGGCCCCCAAATTAGAACCTTACCACCCATCATTTACTGTCTGTAACTGTGAAACCAGCTTATTCCATACAGGGAGCCCATACCTGCTTCTGGGGCAGCAAAGCCTGACTGTGAAGGTTTACCCCAGAACTCTCTCCCCTTCCTACAGCATCCCATGGGGTCATCCCAGGTCTGTTTGTCCTCTGCCTGGCCTGTGCCAGGCCTGGAGGAAGTGGTGGCTGCCCTGGCAGGGTCTGAGGGAATCAGACGAGAGCTGTGATGCTGAGTTTCCGTGATTACACAATGCTCCCCTGGATAAGGGTGCAGCAGAGCCATGTCCAGCCTCCAACCTGCTCCTGGGGCCTGTTTCCCAAGCTAGACTCTTGCTGGCACCACACTTTCCACTCAGCTCGGCCAGACACTCATAGGCCTGAGGCACATCTAGGTGGGGTGGCTGTCCCCAGAGTCTGGGGCCTCAGGCTGGTGGGAAAGAAAACACTTTGCAGAGCTGCTCAGGGGAAAGTAATTGAGACGACAGCACCCCATCCTCCTCTGGCACCAAAGGTGCATCCTGGGGTCCTGCCAGACCCCTGGGGCCAGGCTGAGCCCAGGAGGACGACAATGGCTATGATGGGTGTTCATTGCCCCGACAGGTACCCCTCTACCCAGTTCGGCAGCCTCACGGGACTGCAGTCTCTGGTCAGTGCACTCTTCGCCCTCCTGCAGCAGCCACTGTTTCTGGCCATGATGGGTCCCCTCCAAGGAGATCCTCTGTGGGTAAGAAAGGCTGGGGGCCCTGGGTACCTGCTGATGGGGAGCTGGGAGACATCACTTAGGGGGTTTCAGAGCCCTTAGGACATGCAGTTTGGGAACTTAGGTTAGGATCCATTCAGGGTACCCTTGTGAATGGTGGCCAGGCAGGAGAAGAGAATTCCTGGCTGGGCCTGGTTTCAGGGTAAATAGAACAGTGTTCCAGTCCCAGACTCTCCTGCAAGGGCAGGGATTCTTGACCAGGTACCATGGGCCTATCCCAAACCCATCCCTACCCCTGGAGAGTCAGACCATTAGGTCTGAGATGAGTCCAGGCCCCTGAGGGCTGCCGGGTGGCCTGTGGGGAACTGAGAATTCTGATGTTGGAATGTGGAAGGATGGGCCCTGGGATGTTTTGGACCTTCCAGTTTCGCTTTTGCTTCTCATCTCCCGTGCCCTTCTCCCCTTCCCAAACTTGAGTTAAGGGTCTGGAGCCTCGGCCCTGCCCACCCATGATGCCCTCCCCGCCCCTGCCCGCAGGTGAACGTGGGGCTGCTTGTCATCAGCATGCTGGGCTTCTGCCTCCCCCTCTACCTGATCTGCTACCGGCGCCAGCTGCAGACTCAGCTGCAGCAGAAGCGGGAGGACGACAAACTTTTCCTCAAGATCAACGGTTCATCCAACCGGGAGGCTTTTGTGTAGCACCTACCACTTCAAAACTGTGGCCTGTGCTTCAGTGACTGACCTGTGTCCTCCACCCCACCCCAGAGGACCCCACATACCCCCAGGATCCTTCACGCTCCCTCCCAGGGCCCTGGTTATGCCTTGAAGCTCTGTGGTGGAAGGACAGGAGAGGGCCCAGGACAAGCCAGTTTCTACTGGGTCTCCACGGTGCCTGCAGGAGGAGGCTCTCTCCCTGGAGTGTCTGGATTCTGCCTCTTGCCAAAGTAGAGGGGTCGGCCATCCCCTGCCGCCACCTGCCCCTTGGCTGCATGCCCACCAGCCACGCCTGCC